CCAAGCAGGGCTGGAGAGGTGGCTCATAGGTTAAGAACACTGGCTGCTTTTCCAAAGATCCCGAGTTCAATTCCCAGCAACCACATGATGGCTCGTAACCATCTATGATGAGATCTGGTGCCCTCTTCTGGCCTACATGTAGGCCGAACACTGTATACATAATAAATAAATAAATCTTTAAAAAAATTAAAGAAAAACAAAAACATGAGCAACTACAAAGCTGCCCTTAGTCAGTGTCCCTTCCTCAGTGAGATGACAGTACCCCCTCCACTCAGACTGTCCTCTGTGTCAGCCTCCACAGTTCCAGGGAAGACTGCAGATCTCAGCAGTCCAGGCTGGCTGTGGACGTCTCTCCAGGTAGCAGGATTTCTGAACCTAGAATCCGCCCTGCCTCCCCAGGCAAGTTGGTTATTTCTGTGGTTTAGGCTCTGAAGGGTCGAGGAAGACGGGCCCCCATGAGTATCTTTGTGTGCCACCAGCCCCTGGCTCCCATGGCTGGCTCCTAACTCTGCTGTGGAGCTCACCCTGGCAACAGTGGGCATTTTTTCTCTGGCACGCTATCTCAGGGCCAGGTTCACTGGCCACATTTTGGCTAGACACGATCATGTCCACCCCACTGGAACCTGCTCTGTGTGTTTGATTTTGAGTGGCCCAGGACGCTCCTGTGCGTAGTTCACTGGTGGAGACAGTTACCTCTGATGAGCAGAGTAGCTGTGGCCTCAGGCCCGGTGGCGGTAAGCAGCAGTGAGCTCTGGAATCTATTATGAGGAGCTCCCTGGCACACAGCAAATGAGGTGGCATGTCAGGGAGCTACAGCAGCCCTCGTCCTCTCTCTGTCCCTTGGTGCATCCTCTCACTCAGATGCAACTTTTAATCCGTCATCTTTTCTGCAAGTAGAAAGAAAAATTACTTTTACATTTACTTAGTGTGTGTGTGTGTGTGTGTGTGTGTGTGTGTGTGTGTGAATGTTTTGTTCGCACATACGTTTGTGCATTGTTTGTATGCCTGGCACTAAGGAAGCCACAAGAGGGTGCTGTGTCCTCTAGAACTGGAATCCCAAGTGGTTGTGAGCTACCATGTTGGTGCAGGAAATGGAACCAGGATCTTCCGGTGCTGTAAAGCACTGAGCCATTTCTCTAGCCCCTGAGTCTTTACAATGTATCTAGCAGGAGAAAATGGGCAAATGGTACGGGCATGACAATGTGGACAATGCTTCCTCCTGGTGAGAAACTGAAGATGGTTCTTGTCTTGGTTTTTCGTGCTTGTACTTCTCAGATTTTGCATAATTCATATGTGTATTTTGAGGTGAGATTTTTTGGAACATTTTTAAATTCCAGTCACAGTCTTGAAGCAACACCAGTAACATGAAATTAAGAATTTTAATTCATTACAATTTTGACTTTGCACATTTATAAGACTATTTGATATTTTAGCCTGCTCAATGTGAATAAATACATATAATATAAAACAAGTAACATATAACAGCTCCTTCTCTAAAGGGGATCATAGAGGATTTATTCTGAGTCAAATATGAGTGGCCAAGGCCAGGAATGGCAATCCTGGATGCCCTCAATGGCTTGTACTGCTGTGGAAAGGTTACATGTTCTTTTCTAATCATAGAACAAAAGTACATCATAGTGGTACACCCCTGTGGTCCCAGTACTTGGGAGGTAGGAGCAGGAAGATCAGGAGTACAAGGCCATCGTCAGCTACATAATTAGCTTGAAGCCAGTGTAGACTACATGAGACCCTGTCTCAAAAACAAGAGAAAAAAAATGTGATAAGAAACATCAGATCGACAGGTTACATTAAAATGGGAAGTGTCTGCTACCATTTTCAAATACTGTCTTACAGCATGCCTAGCTCTGGGCTTGGTGGAAGTCAGTATTCTGCTAAGAATATTTTCCAGAGGTTCTATCATGTTACGGAGTTCGAATCCACAGGGAAAAGATCACAGACTCAATTCAAATCATAATTAAATGAGTTTATTCATTGCTGCTGCCAGAACCACAGCCAAAGTGAGGGCTTGCCGTGCAGAAGAGGCGAGAGGAAGCTGGGCACCAAAATTACCTTGTTTGTATGGACTGCACAGCTGAGTGGGAAACTGTGTCAGGCCCCTCAGTCGGAGAGGACCTGGCCCTGTCAGCCCCTGTTACACAGCGACAAGCAGCAAGCGGGTTTACAAAAGCCAGAGTGAACAGCTAATTATCTAACAGTAGTTTTTACAGTCCCAGGGAAGGGGCCAGGAGTCGGAGTTGCCAGGAACTTATCTTTTAGGAATTTAGAACGGTGTTGAGCACAGAAGGGAGTTCTCTTTAGCCATCACAATTAGAGAATCACAAAGCTGGGTCCAATTCAGAGCCCAGTGATAAATGGCTATTGAGGGGGCTGACGTGACAATAACTCAAGATCATTTTCACTCTGAATCTAAGATACCCTGTCTCTTTAGAATCAAGACGTTCTGGTTGGCCAGTCAGCCTGCATAATCTTGACTATCAGTGTGGCTCCGCCAGAGAACTGACATTTATATATCTATAGCCAATCACATATAATGTGAAACTTAGTTTTTGCACCATAACATATAAAGTAGACACACATGTACAACCACCCACTTTGGGAAATACGGGTTCATGCTCTCTCCAGGAGCCCCAGACAAAAACAGTTAAGGGAAGATTTACTTTGTTCGAAGTCTGAAGGGATAAAGTTCATATGGCATTGGGTGCTGGCGTTCAGCTTCTTCCTCCCTTTTGCATCTTTGTTCAGTACAGGCCCCATGCTCATGGGATGATGTAACCCACATTCAACACAGGCCTTCCTTCCTCAGCTAAACCTCTATGGAATCACCGTTACATAAATACTGGGAACGGTACTTCCTAGGTGATTCTAAAGCCAGTCAAGCTGACAATGGAGAGTAAATACTTAACCACCAGGCCTTTAGAATCCCGTGTGCATCAGCCAGACTGAAGACATGCATGTTAATGATAAAGCTAAAATGTGTGTCTGGGTACCAGATCTTGAAACATCAACCATAGCTTCATCGCTGGATTCCTGTCTAGAGGGTGCCAGAACTAAAGGAAGCTTTTATCGACCTACAGTTCAGCAATCAAGCCAACTCTGGTTTACTCTAACAATGTGCTCACAAATCCTGAGCGTTTCTTTGCCTTACCAGAGGATGATCTTAGCATGTGACCATGTTAACAGAAATGGGTCTGACCGCAGTGTCCAGCCCTTGAAAAGTCTCACCAGTCACCACCATCATGGAGGCATCCCTGTGCTCACCTGTTTCATGGGGCCTAGTCCAGATGACTGTCACTTACTCAGTTAAGGTTGACTGAGCTCCTGCTGTTTCCCAGGCACCATGCCAAGGGCTGGAAATACTAGGATGACTCAAGCATGACCTTGGTCTTGAAGAACTCACTTTCTCCTGGAAAAACAGACATAAATACCAAGGTCCCTACAGCTGCCAAAAGCTGTAACTTAGAAATAAATAGTTGTTTCCTTCATACTCCTTCATTCAGACTGGAAAGTTTAGTAACTAAAGGGTTAGACCATGAAGGTGAATGAAAGTTGGATTTATCCTCGAAGCTACATTCTGCTCACTAGACTTTGGGTCTCATATTGTGAAAATCGGGATTCGGGGAGCTGGGGGGCAGTCACTAAGGTGAGGCTTCTGAGAATAGGTGGCCCATCACCTCTTCCTTCATTTCTGCTGACAGAGGACAGGCCCCAGCATGGCTTGGCTCTCAAGCCCAGTGCTGCGGGCTGGAAACTTGCTAGTGAGCATCTGTGCATGGGGCTGGCAGCCTTTGGGTCTCCAAGTTTATTGCATTTAGTTAGCATCATTGTTACCAAGTAACCCTGGAAATATTTTTAAGTCATTATTACAAGTTAATAAAATGACTCACATGTTTGTATTAAAGCGAAGGATGGATGGATGGATGGGCAGGCAGACAGGTGGGCAGGTGGATGGACAGGCAGACAGACAGACAGATAGATAAAGTGCCATGTGGTCATGGTGGAGGTGCTCTAGTTAGATTAACATTTTTAAATACAATTCTAGGTCACAAAGATCTTATACTGAATTTTAAAATGACCAGAAAGTGGTCATTTGCTCTACATGGGTCAGCCAGTACTTGAAGTGAGTGGAAAGTGTCACAGTGTCTAAATGACCAGGCAGGTACAGAATGAAGCACCTGTCTGCAGTGGCTCTTTTGGAGTCCCATCCCTAGCTGAGGATGTCTTAGTTGGTTTTCAACAAGATTAGGTTTTCAACATACCAATTGGGGTGTGAGTGAGGCAGCCAGCCCATAGCAGGAGATTAAGAACCAAGGATGATCTAGTCTTTGGTGACGTGAATATGCTAGCAGAGGTATCACAGCTTACCATATTATAGATCCTGACATCAGCGACCCCTGAAGTCCGCCTCTCTCTGTGATCACTTGTTCTCTCTCCTGTGCCTTCTAGGATAAAACTGGAGGCTTCTGGGATAGCACTGGAGGCCCCCATTTTCCAGGGGCAAGTAGTAAGTGGAGGAAGATTCAGGAGGGAGTAGAAAAGTGAAGATTGTACAATCCCAAAGACTCTCCCACCATCAATGCCTCCAAGTCTAAGGAATGAAAACCAATGTGTTCATGTCACACTTAACAAAGGGGGTATCGAGAGGCATGTAAAAATGTTTATCACAAGCCTGCACATTAATCCCTTGCTACATATTATTTATTACAATCACATAAAATCCTCAGAACAGAGAACTCTATGCTGTAAAACTGAGCAATCTTTTCTGAGCCATCCTCCTTAGCTCATAAGCATATGCCATGTGCCAAGAACATGATGCTCACGCATGACCAATGCTGTCCAGCACTTGTCAAACAAGTTAATATTTAAGCTAGCCCAAAGGCATATATCCATCTTTGAGAAGTGTTTACACCAGCACTTCAAGAAATGCAGACTTCAGCCCTAATAATAAAGACTTAAAGCTTCTTTTGTCTCTGTCAATCCAGGCCTACCGGGTGGATAAAAGAGCCGCAGAGCAGGCACGTTGGGAGGAAGCTTCCAAGGAAACCATCAAGAAAACCACTAAGCCTTGTCCTCGCTGCAATGTGCCAGTTGAAAAAAATGGTGAGTGTGTGCTGAGACAAGAGCCAGGCTTGCTGGGGCCCGCCTGCAGGGAGGCCTCGGGTATCGGTTTGGGCTTCTGAGAGGATGCACAGCTTGAGGCGGGGTAGGCAGAGTGCGAGCATCTGTTCTTCAGCGTGCAAATCCTCAACCTCCTAAACCCAAATTCCACTAAAACTAACCTAGTTTCTTGACAGAAATTTGGGATGTTCTCTGATGCTAATGTATGCCGGGGGGGCGGGCAACAGTAGCAGCTTCCAAGGTGGTTTCTGTGGGATGAAATTCCACCCTTGGACTGGAAGCTGAGGTGGTAAATGAAACTTTCTGGTGAGATGGTGTCCAGCCATGGGTGACATCAAATGCATCGGGCCTCAGGCCAGGGCCTGTGAAGAGAGAAGACGCACAAGATACGCTAGCGGTGCTTCTTATACGTGGCATTAGACACTAGGCAGTCTAGTGATGAGTCACCTGCTGTTATACCAACAATAAAGTCCAATGTGCCCAGTCTCCTCCACAGGCCCCGAGAGTCCAGACTGAGGGACAAGGGGCACCGCCATGTCAACTCCACCTGTCAGATGATGCTGTCTCCATGTCCCCTCATGGAGAATAGTAACAAAAACGACTATTTTGTGCCGCTCGCTCACTAAGCGTTTATCCAGAGCCCTCTCTAAGGACAGAGCACTCACTTCTCAGGCTGCTTGAGGAAGCTGACGTAAGGGGCAGCATTCCAAGCGTGCATCCACATGGTAAAGCATTTCAGAATTTCTTTGGTGAAGAAACAGGGCTAGATTTATTTAATCAACTTTTGTGCAAAACTTTTGGCCATGAACACCCTCCCCTTGCCACACATACACACGTGCCCCGTCCCTCTTCCTAATATCCCTTGAAGATTGGAACTCACAAAATTGGTTCTTATGTCCCTGCTGCGGGGGAGGCAGAGCCTGAAATGGCACTCGTGCCAGGCTCCTCTGTTCAAACGTCAACATCACCAGGCTTTGGAAAGGGACTTCTTCTTATACCTCCCAGCAAAGCTCCTGTGACTTTTAAGAATTTAAAACAACTGTTTGGACATATCTCAGGATGACATGAAATGAGGGCAGACCCAGTTTTCCTAGAACGTACCATTTTGCAGTCAACAGGCTTAAGAATAAGCGCATCTAATGGTTCTTCTTAAACCCAGGCGTTGTCCCACCAGGATTGTCCCCTCCTGACTTGTGTAGTCACATTTACTGCCCTCATCAATGCTGGAACCACGTGGAAACCCCAGAGCACTTAGACTGAAAGATGTGCCCCTCCCACCTGCTCATTCATGGGCCAGAGGACTTGGCTCTCCAAGAGACTGGGGATCAACTCAGCTCTAACGTCCTGTGTCTGCTTGCCATGTCCTTCAAGTGCAGCTTGGAGCCCCCTCAAGCTTGCAGGAGAAATGTCAAGTAAGCTTTTGAAACTGCAAACTTAATGGGCCTCCACACAAAGCCAACAACCTGTATTTTTAAGCTTAATTTTAAGGTCTCCCAAAAGGCTGTAGGGCTTTGGTTGCAAGGCCAATGCATTGGTAAGTCTACAGCACGAATATGCCGTGCAAATATACCATTTGAATGGAGGAAGCAGGCACCAGCATCATTTAGGGTGTCCCCTTCCCTGCAGCAGGGACACCAAAGCGAGCCTCACATCCTGAGAACTACTGCTGGTGCAAAACACAACTCTTCCTCCAAAGAAATCGAGAGAGAGTTCCTCCTGAGCCAACCGTAAACACAGAGTCGAGTTGCCAGAATGACACACCCAGCTATGGAGAGACTACGCAAACTTTTGGAGTCACTGAACAACAATTTCAGAAGTCCATGCATTTACCAGGTTGATTGGCTGGACACATCACATGGCTGGACACAGCAGAGCAGGAAGAACTCTGCTACAGTCTCAGGTGCTTTGGGGTGACAGCCTGAGGACAGGAAGAAGTGGTTTGCTGAGTTCATCAGTATGTTCTGTTAGGAAAGTTTTGCCTGACAGACACAAAGCTGTTAAGTCAGGTTCAGAAACTGGTGCTAAGTGACTATTAAGGGGCTGAAGGCAGCCCAAGGCCACTTTGGCTCTCAATCTGTAGCGTTCTACCACCCCACATTCACAAAGTAAAATCAACAGTCTGCAGCATCTGTACCACAGAGGGGGGTCTTTTCAGAGAACCTCAGTCCACATCACTGAGGATAGCATTCCGGTGCCCCTGGAGGCTCTGTCTTGCTCAACTTGAGAATCGGTGCCTTCCCACCTCCCGCAGCCATGCTCTGGACTTCCGTCCTGCCCTCTTCTCCTCTTCCTTTATTGTTGTCATTGTGTGGCTTTGACTTCGGGGAGGTTTCCGGGAATTGAATCCCTTCCATTCTGCTCCCCATATCTGTTTGGCTCCAGAGGGCTTCCTGTGTGGACAGCGCTAAGGCTTGAGGACTGGAGTAGAAGTCGGGTTCTCTTCGGCCTGGGTTCTAAGCCTCCTTCAACCATTGTCACCCATGTCCCTAGCACTGGGTGCCTGTAAGCCTATCATCTATCTCCGAGGATCCATCCCTCCTGCTGGGACGCAGGGGCCAGAGGTTTGCCTTGCACAAAGATGAGGTGAGGGCTGAATGAGAGGATGTCTGCAAGGGGCACTTTGGAGGGCCTGCTCAGTAAAAGTCTCCCAGCATCGCTCCTGTTCTGATGAGACAGCAGTCCTTAATGAGTGGGCCCCACCGCCACGTTAGGTAGCCAGTCAGTGTTAACGTGGCCGAGAAGAGAATAGCTGTGGAAGGCAGGATGAGGGTGTTGGACATAGCTTGGGGTAAGAGGCTGCTCAGTGGACTGGACTTGGCCCCTGGTGACCACCCCTTTCTCGGGGGGGCTCTGAGCTATAGAATTGTGTTGCCTGCTTTCCTGCTCTTCTGGCTGGCAGCTGCTGAGAGGTGGCTGGCTGCAGAATGAAAGCTGATGAGCCTCCAGCAAGTGCTGGAGCCTCTTAGGAACAATCTGTATCACACCAGTGAGCGTGTGCGGGCACTTTGAGAGAGACGGGAGCAGGCTCAGCCCAGCCCGAGTCCCTAACTTGGAACCAGAGGTCTCCTGGGAAAACAAAAAGAACTGAGTTGGTGAACGTCACTGTTTCTTTGTGTGTCGGGACATTCCTAGAAGGGCAGTGGTTTGCAACCATCTGCAAAGAGCGCGAGGGGCAGGGCCTACCTTAGCCCTGCGCACCGCTCTAAGACCATGATCGCCTGATGAGGTAAAAAGAAAAAGAAGGTGCAAATGGCATTGTCAGGAAAGGGTATTGAATGGCTACTAATGGGCAGGGCCCAGCAGCCAGTGTGCTGACTCTTTTCCAACACAAGCTAAACAGAACAGACCATTTCTCTGGAATCCCAGAGAAGTGCAGATTTGACCCCAGGAGAGGACCACTGTGCAAGGCAGCGGGGTGTGGACACCACCCTGGCTGGCGCCGGAAGCCTTTTGCTTGCCAGCATCCCTGACAACAAGTGTGCTAGGACAACAAGCGTGTAGGGCCAACGTGGAAGGTAAGGGGCTTAAACTTGACTCCCTAAGACAGGGAACTGTTCAAAAGAAATGACTTAATCAGATCTTGAGACACAGGCCACACCACAGGCATGGAGGTGGAGTTGAGGAGCCCAGTGACTCACCGATGCAGTTTCCAGCGGGGTCATTTCTTAGAAACGCTCTAATGGGCTACAAATGGTGCCTGGTGAGCATTAGCCTCTGACCCGAAACACTGCAACGGACCTAAGCTGCCTTCATGCTTATTATGGCTGTGGCACGTTAGAACAGATGCAGGCCCAAGAAACTGCACTGTCCAGGTCCATAGCTGGTTCCACATTCAGCAAAGCAGCTCTTCCTACAGGGAGATGGAGCCATTTCTGTTTTCTTTCTTTTGTGTGTATGTGTTCACACAGGCTCACCCATGTGAGCAGGAGTGTACATGGATTCATGCGCATGTGAACAGAGGCTACAACACCTTGGGAATTGCTCAGGGTGCTATCTTTTTAGTTTTTATTCTTTTTTTATTATTTATTTATAAGATTCAGTCTCTCAGGCCAGCATGATAGCCCAGCCTGTAAGGGTATTTGCCACCAAGCCTGATGACCTGAGGCTGACCCCTGGCATCAACCCCTACCTAGTTGAAGAAGAGAACCGGCTTCCCCAAGTTACCCTCTGACCTCCTGTAACTGAATATGACCTTGAGATCCTGATCTTCCTGCCTCCCTCCTCCTGAGTTTGGGAGACCGCATGAGTACACCACCATGTCTGGTGTATACAGTGCTGAGGATTGAACCCAGGACTCCATGCATGCTGGGCAAGCACTCTACCAACTGAGCTATAGCCCCAGCATGGCAGCTTCCTATCTTTCCTTTTCAGCTTAAATAAAAATTTGAATACTGGGGCTGGAGAGATGCCTCAGAGGTTAAAAGCACTGGCTGTTCTTCCAAAGGTTATGAGTTCAATTCCCAGCAATCATATGGTGGCTCATAACCATCTATAATGAGATCTGGTGCCCTCTTCTGGCCTGCAGGCACACATGCAGGCGGAATACTGTATGAATAATAAATAAATCTTTAAAAAAATTTTAATACCATTAAGGAACATATTCTCTATTAAAAGTAGTATACTGACCCAACTCCTGTTGATAAATTTTGCTGAGCCAAGTAACACTGAATAAATATGAAAAAAATATGAAGCCCGGTGTGTTATATACTAAATTATTAAATTTTAATATGTATTTAAAACCATGAGTTTAATATGCTTTTTTAATGAACAGTGAGCCGTCTATGAAACACAAACCATTTGTGTCTGAACACATGAGGGAAAAAGGAGGATTCAGATGTGCGAATGGGACTTGTTCCAGAGGCAAAGAGCCCTGCCTTGATGTCGTCATCTCCTCATTTCTCCAGGGCGTCTCTCCTCTGGCATCCGGGTCCGCTACAAGAGTCATTTCTGGAACGCCATGTTGGCGTGGGGACTAGTCCCCCCCCCCGGTGTCTGTCACTGACTGTGTCATTTCTCCCCATAGGAGGATGTATGCACATGAAATGTCCACAGCCCCAGTGCAGGCTGGAGTGGTGCTGGAACTGCGGCTGTGAGTGGAACCGAGCCTGCATGGGTGACCACTGGTTCGACGTGTAGAGGGATGGCACCAGCACTGGCCACACATCCTCACGGGAGACACCGCAACTCCAACCCTGTTGACCCATCTCTTCTACGCAACGCACATACGCACATACATGCACAAGCACAAGCACAGGCTGCAGATTCCAGCAGCAGACCCTAGATCCTTTCCATGGGGCCCAGGGCAAACAGCAGCACCTGCTGCCCCCCGGCAGGAGGCACTTTCAGCCTCTGCCTCATGACAGTTATCAGAGCTGGGACGAGAGTGCAGCCCCTTGTTTTGGATTCTCATCCCAGAGAGAATTTGAGTCCACCTGGATCATCACATAGGCTTTCCAGGCTTAACTTCCTGCCTTCACCGTCACTAAATCCATGGGATGAGGTGGGAAGTGCTTTCCAGAGATGTTGCCTCGCTCCGTATGAGTTAGAGCGCCATGGATTCTCAGAAGCACACTTGAGATCTGAGGAACTCAGTTCTTATGTAACAATCATCTATTCCCAGAGGGCCCTCAGCAATAGTCAAAAATACTTGTTTATCCCCCAAATCCTATCTTTATAAATGGTGCTGATGAGAGTACAACCCCACTGTAGAGAAATCAGCTTATCAGCCAAGTGAGACACTAGGAAAGCTAATTGGATTGCCGACTGTTGAAATTACAGGGAGGGCATGGAAGCAGAATTTGCTTCCATTCGTTTAATTATCTGCAACTTTAGAAAGAAACGATTTTTTTTTTCCTCTGAAAATATTACAAAGTCTGTAATTTGGTTTGAAGTATTCCTGGTTCAGCCTGGAAGTTTAGCTCATGCATTTGGCTTCCCTGTGAATTTAATGGAGAAAGTGTCTATAAAGGGGATGTTTTTAGAAACAGTCCCATGACGCTATTCTAATGCTAACAACAAGGTCAGGAAACAGAATATTTATAGAAGAAACATTTCTACATCATCTCAATGAAAACATGCCTGACCTCTCCATCAGAAGTGGGGATACCTCCTCCTCAGCTGTTAAGGGAACCCCATGCACCCATTGGTCCTACAGGCAGGACCCCTTGCATGGGACAGTAAACATACAGAATATTCATCAGGGTAATATACATCACATTTGAATGTTAATTTTTCCATGTTTTCTTTTCTTTTTCCTGTTTCTGTTTTGTTTTGGTTTTGGTTTTGGTTTGGTTTGCTTTGTTTTTTTGGAGGGAGTCTACCAGACATGAGTCCTGAAGCCAAAAATCATATAGAAATGATGGCATTGGCATCTTGCGATGTGAGGACAGGCTAGCAGGGTGACATCCACTCCCGCATGCCAGTGGCCCAGGTTTCCACCCCAGGTCCTGACCGAGTGCCACATGCCGAGCCAAGGTGACAATGCCACCTGTCCTGCAGCATTCAGGGCTCTATGTCACCCATCACTGTTTCTTTCACAATGTTGCTTTTGCCACTGTCTCCTTCCATACCTGTGTGCTGTGGTGGTTTGGGGAAGCCAGGACAATGTTTGCTGTTCTGCTTTGGTTTCAGGGACTCCCTAAAGCTCTGTGGCTCTCCAGCATGGTCTTTTTTCCTTTCTGGGGATCACTGATGTTTTCTTCAGAATAGAATAGTGATTCTTAAAATAACTTAACAGAAAAACAACCACAGTGTGTGAACATGAATCATAGCTTCTGTTGTATGAGCACAAACAGTGAGGTAAAAAGTGGATGTCAAAAGAATGGAAATCAAACCTTTGCAAGGCAATCTTTCCTTAATACATTAAAAAATGTATTAAGAAATACCTGAAGACTGTGTCTATGGTGGTACACAGACTGTCAATAAAAGATTCAAAAGAACGTTTGAGCCTATCCTTGGGGATGCATTTTTGATAAATGTTGGAGATGTTGGGGAGAAGACAGGCCACATTTCTCTGTGACCTCTCACACTGCTTGGAAGCATCACACCCTGGAAAAAAGTGGCCCCTTTTCTTTCCATGATTAATTTTAGGGGTTCTGCTTTTTCAATTATCAAAATTTCAGAACAAGACCCCATTCTGAAATGTAATGGTTACTCTCTTGCCTTGCTCATAGACTGGCCAACTGAGTGTCCATAAGAGAAACTGGGCTGGAGAAATGCTCAGAGGCCGAGAGCAGTTGCTTCTTTTGCAGAGGACCTGAGTTCAGCTTCCTGCACCCATAGGGTGGCTCATAGCTGCCTCTCACTCCAGTTCCAGGGACTCTGATGTCCTCGTCTGATTTTTTGCCAGGTCCTTCAGGCACATGGTGCACATACATGCACTCAGGTAGACACACACACACACACACACACACACACACATGCACGCATGCATACACATTAGCTAGAAAGACAGGCAGGCAGGCAGGCAGATATTTTAAAGAGGAAAAAGAAGAAGCTTGGGAACAGGGAAGAAGATGGTCCTGTCCAGTAATATGCTTGCTACAAGAATATGAGGACCAGAGTTGAGGCCTCCAGAACCCACGTGAAAAAGCAGGATGCAGCAACACACACTTATAATCCTAGCACTAACAGGCTGAGACAGGAGGATCCTTGGGTCTCACTGGCCAGTCTCGTTGGTTGACGATCTCCAGGTTCAGCAAGAGACCCTGTCTCAAAAATAAAACCACAACAACAAAACCTTTGTAAACAATAGAAAATAATCAGCATTGACCTCCCCATGCAGGCGCATCTATGCATCACACGCATCTAAAATAAAACGTCAGGATTCTGTTGTGCTGCTCTGTGTGTTTATTAGGTACACCCCCTCGTTGCTGTGGTGAAAATACTTGGCAAAGGAACTCCCAGAAGGAAGAGTTTATTTGGGCTCATAGTTTGAGGAGTGTGATGATTAATGCCGAGTGTCGACTGCATGGGACTTAGCATCACCATGGCTTGACCCTGTGTGGGTCAGGGGGAGGGGATTCTAGATTGTGTTAACTAAAATGAGCAGACACTCTGTGCTGGAAAAAGTGAGCTGAACATGCCAGCATTCATCTCCCATTGCCTCCTAACTGCAGATACAATGGGACCAGCTGCCTCAGGCTCTTCATGCCAAGCCCCTCCCACCACAATGGGTGCACTCTCAAACTGTGAGCCAGAACAAGCCCCACTTCTTTAAGTTATTTTTGCTGGGTATTTTGTCACAACAATAAGAAAAGTAACCAACACAAAGCTAGGTCTCCTCACATCTGGGCAGATGAGCAGCAGACGGCAGCGAGTGTTTCCTGTCAGCCACCTTCCTCCTTTTCTTCTTTTCGTCTAGTGTGGAACTTCAGGTCCTGAGATGGTCTTGCCCACACCCAGGGTGCCTCTATTTTCCCTAGTTACTCACTTTGGAAACCCCCTCACAGACACAGCCTCCATTGAGATGACCGATCAAATCAAGCTGATAGTGGAGCTGAGTCTCAAAGGCAGGAGTGGGGACCCCTCATCTTCTCGAGACCAGCACAGTGGTTGTGCCTGTCTCGTTTCAGTGTCTTCTGAAACCCAAAGAGACCATCTCTGAGTAATCTTGTATATCTGCCAGGCCAGCAGCATGCTGAGGACCCCATTGGACCCCATTGGAGCCAGAATCCAGAATCTAAGCGCTAAGAAAATGAAAAGGTCAACTGGGCGTGGTGGTGCACACCTGTAATCCCAGCACTGGGGGAGGCAGAGGGAGGAAGATCGCTGTGAGTTAGAGGCCAGCCTGGTCTGCAAAGGAAGTCCAGGATAGCCAAGGTTCCACAGAGAAACACTGTCTAAAAAAAAAAAAAAAAAAAAGGAAAAGAAAGACAATGAAAAGGTGAGAGACCTATTCCCTACCCGGGGCATCCACAGAGCAGAGGCTGCAAAGAAAGCAATGTATATGTGTGAGCTCTGGGTTTCAGAGCTCAAACCCTGACTCAACCACCCACATGGGTGTGAGCTCTGGAAACGAAGACAGCATCTCCCTTGTTGGTCTGTTGTCGTGATTCACTGAATGGATTCCAATCCACACTTGGTCGCCACTATTAATACACGAAAAGTCAATGGAGTCCACAGAGAAAAGCACAATACCGTGGAGTGAATGCACAGAAATTACAACCGCGGGGTGTGCAAATGTTACCATCAGAGATGCGTGACTCCATGTGAGTTGCGGGTGATGGTGTGTGTTGGTTTTGAATGTGTTGGACCGCCTTCTTCATACTTCCAGAAATTTCTCTGTAAAGGTAAGTCTAGTTGTCGTTTCTAGCTGTGTGTGCTGGGCGTGCAGGTCGTATCCAAGGTATGGGTTAAGGAATTCCAAGTAGGAGTGGAAATAGTTGAGTAAAAGTAGTGAACACACATACAAAACATGGGAGAAACCAACTACCCTTTTGTTCCCCCATACCCTATCATACTATCATACCCTACATCATTTCTGATAGAGTAATATATATATACATATTATATATATAAAATATACATATAGATAGATAGTAAATATATGTATAAATATGTATGTACATAAATTTACACACACACAAATATCTGTAAGTATATATGTATAAAGGGGATTTTTTTAGAATGGCTTCCAGGCTGTGATCCAGCCAGTCCAGCAATGACTGTTTACAAATAGAATAACCTAGTAGTTGTTCAGGCATGAGGCTGGATGTCTCATCTGGTCTTCAGTATGTATTGGAACCCTGGAGAAGTAGGCTCTAATGCCAGTAAAGGAGTAGACTTACTAACCAAGGCAAGAGCAAATAGGCAACAAGAGAGCAAGCCTCCTCCTTCCCTGTCCTTTATATGGATGCCAGCAGAAAATGTCCAGATTGGAGGTGCATCTTCTCACCTCAAAAACCTAGATTAGAAGTGGTTCTCCCCGCTTCAAATGACTTAAAAAAAAAAAAATCCCTCACAGATGTGCCCAGCCATTAGGGTTTTAGTTAATTCCAGATGTGGTCAAGTTGATGACCAGGAACAGCCACTGTGCAGCGTAACACTGGACCTTCTTTGGATGAACACCTGTGGATAAACTGCCCAACCACAGCGTTTGAGAGCCGCTGTGGGCTTGGATAACCAGGCAAGGAGTGTGCATGGAAGGGACTGCTGGACCACACGGAACGGTGGCGCTGTCCCGAGGGATGTGCTGTGGTCCTGTCTCATTCTCAGCTCTCAGGCTAAGAAAATCAGTTGTCACTTTATGAAGGGGTAGCTGGGACCCGGAAGACTGACTCACATAAACCCAGCTCATAAGAGAGCTAGCTGTGAAAGTTAAAATGTCTGTGCTAGCAGCTTACCTCCTGGTCTCCATGCATGCTTTTCTGACTGGCTGTAATCCTGTAATCACCCCTAAGTGTAAGCCCAGCCTCTGGAGGACAGGCAGGAGAACAGAGCTGTGTACATGCCGTGGGGCACCCGGCCCTATAGTAGACAGGTTCCAACCACTGTTGCTATGGAATTTCATCTTTGAATTCTGAACAACTCAATGTAAAAAACCCCACTGTAGGGCTGGGCTTGCCTGTGGAGCCTGCCTGATGCTGTTGACTATGTCTAACCAGATGCAGCTATTCCCATTGCAAAGACAAGGCTGATTCGGGCTAGAAAACCTTGCTTTTAGATGTGTGGAACCTTTTCCCAAAGGTTCCCTGAGATATTTGGTCAAAGGTTTCTCTGCCTTTGACCCCTACCCCAACCAGATCAGAGAACCCAGGTACCCTCTTCTTCACAAAGCCTGCACACACAGGCTGCCCTGCTCTTTCCTCACAGCAGATGGCTTGTGTCCCCACAGTTCTTGGTTCTGAATTTCAAACTCCAGAATGATTCAGATGGCATTTTTGGAGAGATGCTTTTGGGCATCAAATTACTCAGTGTATCTCCATGTAAAGTTTTTACCTGTGTTGTTTTTATTTTAATTGTAAAAATAATCGTATTATTATATGCTCATCATAGAAACAAAAAGAAAAATATTTATTTTTCATTTGATTTTTACTTAGTGCCAGGCCAATGACATGGTTCAGTGCATAAAAGAGCTTGCCACCGACCTGATGACCTGAAATCAGTCCTGGGAAACCCACACGGTACAAGGAGAGAAGCAACTCCCAAAAGATGTCCCCTGACCCCCCCACAAATACCACGGGACACCTGCACCCATACATACACAAAATTAATTTAGAAAAAAAATGCAGTACCAATTGATTTATTCATTTGAGAATGTCCCCAGGCTTCATCATGCTCTAATATCACATGTGCGGATCAATCCCTGTTTGTTTTAAGTTTCTAGATCTGGTGTAACCATCTAAACATAACACAATTATCTGAAAGTTCGGATATAAAAGCTGTTATGTAACAAGGAAATTGGGGACACTAGGGCTGGAGCTGGAGCTCAGTATGACAGCACTCACCTAGCAAACTCAGGACCTGAGGTACCTTCCCAGCACCACACACACACAGGAGCAAAGAGCCAAACATGTTTACAATGTAACTTAACAGGAAAGGGGTTCACGAGCTTGAACCTACTACGATTACCATCTTGCAAGAGCAACGGAAGCTTGATGGGAAGACTCACGAAGTCTGATTGTTCGTGCCCTCCTACCCGATTTCACATCTTGAAATCCCAACTCCCAGTGGGAGGTGTAGACTAGGAGATGATTAGGATGAGATCATGCAGGTAGAGCCCTGGTAAGGAGACTGGTGTTGTAAGAAGCAAGCTCTGAGAGAGGCCTTTACTCCCTCCCACATGTGAAAAGGCACATGCATGCAACAGGAAGAGGACTTTCAGCAGACATGAAGTCTGCAGCATCTTCATCTTAGACATCCAGCCTCCAACACTGAATTGTGTGTAGGCAGCCCTCTGGGTGGGGTTTTGTTAATAGCAGCCCAAACGAACTGAGAGCAGG